TTTTCAGTCTATTTTATTCTACCCCTTGGGGACGTACAGAATGAAGAAAAGACTACAGTGCTCAGTGGCCACTCAGCGGCTCAGTGCTCGTCTGTAATGATAATATTCAAATACTACTAAACACCTAAATAGCTTTCTGGCCTTTCAATTTCGAAGCTACCAGTCCTCGCTTAGAGATGGTAGCACAGTTAAGGATAGACTCGGGGTATACGGTTACGGATGTTCACGATTCCTCTCGATATCGATAAAATATATCGTCATGAAACCATCGATGCGTAAAGATCGATGTTCTACGTCCGATGTATCGATGTTTTCGATACATCAATGTATCGTCTATCTTCGCCATCCCTATATTGTATCTCCACCAGTCACCAGTCAAAAACCTTAACCTCCAATATTTTATCTATTTATAATTCTTTTTAGCTCTTATTTTTCAGTAATTACTAATAATTTTAGGTCTATGTCTACAGTAATTGCATTATGCACCTCGGAGATGTAGGGATTAACATGTTTTACACATATCGGTGTTTTAGGATGGGGACGACATACTGTTTTGATTGCTTTGAAGAAATTCATTAACCCATAAATTTATATCAAATGATTACTATTATGATGTAAAGAGAGATGCGGAATTGTTGGAATACATTTTATATTCTATTTTCTTGCAAATCCGCACAATTCAACAGGCATGTGTAGCTATAATGATCACATATACACACAGTATATTGAACTTAACAAATTTCGAGATTGCCATGAATTAACAAACGACCAAACCTGCTGCCAAATTTAACAGCTAGAAAATCGACCTATTATTTCTCCCATTCCCATTCGCTGAGGGGATAACAGATGGTCAAATGTACACCTATAACATAAATCAAAATACATGAAAGTTGTCGTGTTTTCTCCTTACAAAAGCATCATGTTGGGATCAAAAAGTGGTCTTGTTTATAATACAGTCGAATTTTGACGATTTTATTCAACATTTTAATAGAAATCACTGATATTCTGAGACCTTTGACAGCTTCCGTCAAATTGCATTTCGATAAGGTATTTTCCTATTGGTCCGTAATAATAATGTTGGTGAAATCGACCCTTAATATACTTTTTTTAGCTTTGCATACACCTCAAGTAAGTGCTGAAGCATCATGACGTTTAGGCAACACGTACAGCTACGGAACGAGTACACATCAAGTGTACAACAGCCAGTGCTAAGTTGATATCTTGTAGAAAAACCTACATAATGTCACAAAAACCCTATATAATGTCAAAAAAAAACCGACAATGTCACTTTTAAAGAAGCGCTCTATTAAAATCGTTGGTATGTTTTGGAATTGCAGAAATCGGAGCCCAAAGCAATCGGAATCGAAAGGAATCCGAACGAATCTTCTTTGAGGACATAAATAAAATTGCAGAATTCTTATTCTTAAACAAAAATCTCGCGCCCTCAAATGGGCAGTAGGACAACTACTTCTAGCCTTGCCATCGCGTGGCAGCGTGGTCGTGTAGTCGTCCTACCGTCCAGTAAAGTTTGCAAACGTCTTCCTGCTAACAGTAAGTAAATTGATTATTTATTCGATGTTTGATGAAGAATAAGCATTCTGATAGTTTATGTCTTCTAAGATTTTATTAAGCAGAATTAAGTACAGCGACAGTGAGACACTGTTATTTTGAATAAAATGCTCGGTAATCGCGTCATATAAATCCATTGCATCATATGTTACGAGTAGACCATAAATCATTTTTAATTTATCGAATTTGCGACAACTTTTCTGTTCGGGCACGAATGTAAAATAGCTGAACCATGTCATATATGAAGTATTTCTTGATATATATAAGAATATAATAATTAGTAGCCCATTTTACACAAATACATAGTATACGTTTTTTGGGAGTCCTTTTATAAGGAGTGGACCAAATTCATTACTTCAAATTCATTTCTTATAAGTCCAATTTGTGCCAAAGACACAAATTTTTATTCCCACCGGTCAATAGCAAAACTGGGCGTAAAAGGAGAGATGTTACCCAGCTCTAGTAGTATCTCAAAAGTTTTTTCAAACGTCTCCTCCAGCGTCCAGAAAGGTCGACTGTCCATGCCTCCTATTATACACGTATTTTGTAGGTTGCTTTCACTCTAAATTACTGATCATGGTGAAAAGAAATGTTTTTCTTTCCAAAAATCAATTGGAAATGACAAAATAACTGTAGTGCATCAAGACAAGTATGTAATTTCCTCTTGAAGGTCGTGGGTGTGGATATGTGTGTATTGGTATTCGTAAACAGCATAAATATGTTACTAATCAAGTTTTATATAAGAAGTAGTAGCAAGTGGTAATTTCACCATTACACAGAGTGTTAAATGAATACATTCCACGTCCAGCAGCTTCGATAGTAACCCAAATTATACACGGTGGCCTTCCAAAGCGCCACCATTTAAATTAATTATTTATGCTAATTTCCGAATTCTTTAACGCTAGATAATCCTAGGTTTTAATTTATTTATTTAATCACCGGGTAAAACCCTTATTACAGATACAAAACAGCCTTGATTAAAGAATTACATTGGAATGTTCTTAACACTTCTTTTAAACACACAAACAGAAGTTCAAAATACTTCTAAACTATATATATATATATATATATATATACAGGGTGACTTTGAAGTTGAGTCATTAATTTTCAGATAATGGTTGTAGAAGGAAGATAAACCAAAATATGTGTGTAAAAATAAAAATAAATTTTTACCTTGTTTTATAAAGTATCCAAACGACAAGTATTTCAGTGCGGACCTGTATTTGATCGTGAGGTCCCCTGTGAGGTCTTAAGTCACCTGATTCACGAGCCCGTTGTACTACATTAACAAAGGCACGAGGGGTTGGTTGCACTCGATTGGGAAACCGATCCGCATAAACATGTGCCATTTTTTATTTCGTTTGAGCCACGCAACAGACACTATTCACACGCGTTACCGACTGACCAGAGATAAACCCTTCGACTGACACTGACTGTATGTATAACTGAACTGAATAAAATAGTAATTGTAAAAACATCGTTCCAAATTCTTTCGCTTTTTTGTTTCCGATGCGATGAACCGATAAGGCGGATTATATCCGTTGTTGCCAAACACGAGCACATGATATTATTATTGAGACAGGGCGGTACTCAAACTTCCAAAGGGCTATAACTTTGTTACTTTAATTTTACCAGAAAAATGGTAGAGGAAAAAAACATTTCTTTTGATCAGATCTACTCACTGTTAAAATAAATGACTCAACTTCGAAGTCACCCTGTATATATATATATATAGAGTGTTCCTTTAATGATGTGCGAATATTTAAGGGTATGAATCCACATGAAAAATTAATGTTAGTTTGCTTTATAAATTATGGTCCAAAAATGTTTCCTTACAAAAACTCGGGGTGTTGAAGTTTTTGGAAAAAAAATGGAAATTAATTAATATTTTCAGGACCGCTTCAGGTATTTCACTGATATTTAGTACGTAATAAAGTTGCATATTTTTCAATCCAAAAATAATTTTTAGCTTTAACAGTGGCGTACGTACGGGTATTGACTTCGATATTTTTTAAGAAAAAAATAGTACGCCAATGGTGTTTTGCCAAATAAAAATTATTTTTGAATTCGCCGTTCAATTTAAAAGAAATAATCTCTCAAGAGTTGCTTTCCTTCGATGCGCCATTTTTGAGTAAAAAAATAAAAACCGTTCTATTATCTAACTTGCAAAATTATTATTAATTTAATTGGAAAAATTAAACACATTAGGGGTAAGGAACAACAACAACTGACAACATAAACATAACATTAAAACCAACGAAATTATTACAAAAATTGTTGAAAATGACCCCCTTCACTTAGTATGCATGCTTCCGCCCTCCTCATGGAATGCGCACTCATTGAAATATCCCTGGAGTGTTTCTTATTCTATCACAAGCTGCAACTATTCTTTCTCTTAATTCCTCTACAGTGTTAACCCAGATACCCCTACCGTCCGTTATAACAATCACCTAATATTTCGCTTCAAATTTGAAACTGGGTTATTCGCTGTTAGAAACACGTATTTAAGCGAAATTTATTGTTCTAACCTCTTAAAGGGAGAGTTCTGTATGCGAGAAAGTGTTTGGAATAACAGGTGCTTAGTTTGTTGTGAACAATGGATAATTATAGGTGAGTATACTGATAAACTATTCATATTATTTTTCCATCTTGTGAATAAGTAATTTTAGAAAACATCAATCTTTATTATTGTAAACAAATAAGTTAAAAATTTGCATCTCACCGGCAAAAATATAACCTCAAATACCGATGTCCGTTTTAACGGACAGTAGGAAAATCTGGTATTATTCGATTTTTTTTCTTGTATTTGCAGTTATTGGAACTATTGGAAGCGGCCCATGAAACTTCATGAACTCATGGCAGAAATTGAAAACATTGATGACGATGAGTTGATTCCTGATACTATTGCCGTTCTACCGCCAGTTAACGCAAATGAATATAATACTGATGAGGATTCCGGCGACGAAAATGAAGTGGATATAAACAACCTCCCTGGAAGTCAGCTGATGACTGAAGTTGAGGTTGTATTTGAAAACGAGGGATCAAACCAAACCACAGTTGAGCGTGATTTTGATAGCGACGACCTTTGTCTACCTTTCTTACGAAAAAACGACCAAAATTATCAAAACCAAGTTACTCTTGGAAAAAAGGTGACATCAACCAAGATTTTCCAGAATGGGTAAACGCAAGTGGTCCAAAAATTCTTTATCTCCTTTAGAACTATTTTTTCAGTTTATATACGTAGATGACGAAATCATTGACTTGGTTGTAAAATATTCCAATATATATGCTATTCAGCATAATCGCCGAGGTGATATACATTCCAGTGAAATAAAATGTTTCATTGGTGTATTACTGCTCTCTGGATACAACTCATTTCCTCGACGGTCAATGTATTGGGAAAATAACAGTGACGCAGGAAATAAGTTAGTCTATTCGGCGCTTTCTCGAGATCGCTTTAGCTCTATAATGCAGAATTTGCACCTGAATGATAACAACAATCTTGAAAATACCGATAAGCTTTCGAAACTGAGGCCCTTGTTTTCTACTCTGAATGAGAAATTTCAGTCATTTGCACCGCTTGAAGAGTGCCATAGCGTGGACGAGTCGATTGTAACCTATTACGGCGGTCATGGATCAAAACAGTTTATCCGAGGAAAGCCCATTCGTTGGCGTTATAAGGTATGGGTGGGAACAACTAAAAAGGGGTACATTGAATGTTTGAGCCGTATCAAGGGTCCACAACTATTATTTCTGAAAAATATCGTCCTCTTGGCTTAGGGGCTAGTGTTGTACTTCAGTTTGCTGATATTATTCAGTCTCAATGTGAAAACGCTCCTTTCCATATCTTTTGTGACAATTTTTTTACGTCACTACCTCTGTTGGCTGAGCTGACCTCCAGGGGGCTCAAATGCTCAGGAACTCTGCGAGAAAACAGACTATCAGATTGCCCTCTTGAAAAGTCCAGTTTGTTCAAGAAAAAATCCCGTGGTAGTTTTGATTATCTTTTGGAGGAGAACCAAAATAATATTGTATGTAAATGGAATGACAATAGTGTTGTTACAATCGCCTCAAATTTAACATCTCCTTTTCCGACACAGCAAGTCAAACGCTTCTCTCAGAAATAAAAGAAAATGATACATGTTGAGCAGCCATGTTTGATCAAACAATACAACGAAAACATGGGCGGTGTTGATAGGGCTGACCAAAATATAAGCCGTTACCGCGTAGGAATCAGGGGAAAGAAGTGTTTTTTTTGCTTGTTTTCACATGCTCTGGATATGGCAGAACAAAACGCATGGCAACTTCATAAACATTCTGGCGGAAAAATGGACCATTTGCGGTTTAGGAGGTGTATTGCTGCGGGATTATTAGAAACCTATAAGAAAGAAACAAAACGGGGGCCATCTAAACCAGGCAAATACCTGCATTATGAGTCCAGATATGATTGGATGGATCATCTTGTGAATTATCAGGAAAAGCAAACCCGCTGCGCATTTTGCCACAAACAAGCAGTATTCAGATTCCAGAACTGTGATGTTGCACTTCATCCAATAATGTGTTTTTTAAGTTACCATACTAAAAACTAATCTATTATTATTGGTTTAAAAATTTTTTTTCGTTTCTAAATAAAGTTTTACAAGTTCATAAGAATATTGAGTTTTAGTACCTTATATTGCTACCGTACGTTTAAACCGACGGCTTTTACAGAAAAACCTAAAAGCGGAACTAAAAAATTTTACTAGGAAAATATGTTTATATTAACCCAATTAATAGGTTTACAAAAGTACATAACAAAAAACAAACATTAAGAGTTTCAGGGGTATCTGGGTTAATGGGACTTGTGTACACAAGTATCTTAAGATAGCCCCACAAAAAGAAATCTAAACTGTTAAGGTCCTGGGACCCACCGCGGCCAATCCAACGATTTGGATAAACAATTTGTAAATAATTACGAACCGCTACACTGAAATGCGCTGGTGCTGGACACAAATCCTGTGTTTATCAGTGTAATTAATACTCGAAATTATACAGCACAAAATAAGGTTGAAGGTGGCTTTTTGTAGCAATATAGACTGTAAATAAGAATAAGTAACCGATATTTGAATCACACGCATATTCCCTATTCGGAAGACATCATTATCCGATCCTACAAGGAAACGATTCCCGTGTGTGAACACCTTGCTAGAATAACGTTTCATTTTTCTTTCACGAAGATAAACGTCGATATGCCTCAATTATTATAATTATTTCAATTTTCCACATCATACCAACCACGATGCTAAAACTTGAATGAATAAAACATTCCAACGTATGGACAAACAACAAACATTGAAAAATACCTTGCAAGAAAGTGAAACCATCAAGAAAGTTCAACGAGAAACCAGAGCGATAGTAGTTTTTTGTGGCATGCACATTTAAAGGCCGCTATACACGTTCCGTTAAAGGCCAGTGAGCATGAGAATTTTCTGGAATGGTGTACATCTAGATTTAATTTAAATGTGGTGCTCATACAAGGTGATACAAAAGTTCCGGAACGACAAGATGTTTAGCAATATTTAAAAAGTTCAATAAAAGTCACATAGAATAGATTCATGACTTTCCTTGGCTGTTCAGCGGTGGCCTTCAATTTGACTTTGCATGACCCTGAACATCGTATCAAGGACAAGATTTTTTTGAATGAGACTCTATACATCCGACCTCAAAAATAGACGAAACAGATCATTTCTCTTTCTAAAACTGCCTTGGAAAAGATAATTTTGACCTTGAACGTCCCAGGTCTAGTTCATGTCTGAAAGTAAACGTTTCCGCTCTATCTGTTTCCGGAATAAAAAGTATAGTATAGGGTACGACGTAAAAAAATTACCTTGCCCTTAATTTGACCGTCAAGGGCATAGTCAAGCTCACTTGAGTCACCAATGAAACTGATGCAATCTGAACAGTTCTGAAATTTGGTCAAACCTTGAATAGGACGTTCAAGATCAAAACCATTATTTCTCCCAAGGTCAGAGCTAATCGTGAAATTTCCCGCTTTCTCTGGAGTCAAAAGGTATAGAGTAACATGTCTTGACATTGACTTGATTGAAAAAGTCAATTTCAAGGCCATCAGTGAACAGCATGGAAAAAATTGAAGCACTTGCTGCCTTTGGGTTCTTATGTTTGCTTCGGTTTCAGAAAGATCCCTAGAATCTGTTCAAATAAGCGTTTTTAAGATAACTTTGATCAGGACATTTGAGGTCAAAATAGGCTTACCTAAAAAAACCTTGATCTGATCTTTAAGGTCATGCTCGTGGCCAAATTCAAGGTCACCACTGAACAGTCATCGAAAATACTAAGCACATACTATTTTACTTTTACTATACTCCGGTTATTCTGGCCAGAAGTAAAGTCGAATTTATACGAAGGTGCATTTAGCTTGCCGTTTTGCCCTTCTCCAGGTAATCGATGTAGAACACACCTTGTGAAACGTAGAAAAGGTGGCCAATACCTTTCCGGCCGATACGACAGTCTTCACCTTCTTTGGAGCACGTTTGCCAGGTGAAGAGTCCACTGTTTTAACTGTTCCGTGTTCTCTGGTGTGTACCAGTGCATCCATGTTTCGTCGAACGTCAGGAAACGACGCAGAAACTCCTTTGGATTGCCCTTAAACAGCGTCAAACACTGCTCTGAAAGGGTCTCACGATTGCGCTTGTTGTCTAGAGCGAGCAGAGGCGACATCCATCGCGCAGACAGCTTTCTCATGCCCAATATTTCATGCAGGATATAACCCACCGGGCCTTTTGTGACGCCTACCGTCTCAGCTATGTCGCATAACTTTTATCGGCCAATACGTAGATTTTTATCACGTTATTCTCCGCGGTAGCCGATTTCGGGGCACCTAGCATAGGGGGCAACTCATATGGGCGAATGGAAAACAGTGCGGTGTTGCCGAACCACAACCTGACAACACTGTTGTCTCCAGAAAAAATGGCGGCTTTGACAAGTATGACGGTTTATTGTTGTCATTTTTAGTTAACAACTCTTTTATTTGTGTCTGGATGGCTGGACACTTCGAATGTAGGTTCTTTGTAACTACAAATTTTATTAAAGTCGTTAGTATTTAAACTATATTTTTGTTGAATCGATGAACTTGGAGTATAACAGCTAAAATGTTAGTGAAATTGTATAAGAGAACCACTCATTTTCTTCTAGGTGATTGTAATTAATACCAAAGGCACTGCTTATCCACTTAATACAGGTATAGAAAAGGAGAGGCAGACCTAGAACGGGGTGGAAAGCAGAGGTACAAGAAGACCTTAGGAAATTGAAGGTAAATGACAGGAAAAGAAGAGCAATGGATAGAGACGAATGGCGAACGAATTTTAATCAAGCCATGGGCCTTTTAGGCATGTAGTGCTAGTTTCTATTTCATATACGCCTTAAATGTGTTGCCGTTCGAGGACCTTTGGATGAAGAAAGTCGATACAAGCATTCCTTTAAACTGGTCCTATTGACAGAGGGTACAAAGCTAATTTCTGAAATGGTTGTTCACACCTTCCTCACGATAAGTACAAAACTTGTGTAGACAGCTTTACACCTGTCAACAACTCGGCTTAGAACGGAAAAAGCAACAACATCAAGGTGTTCATTCAGACGTAACACTAATTGGTCGAAAAACCATGCCTCATTTAAGGCGATTTTTTTTATAAAATGGCCAAAGCTAACTGACAAAATCAAGCGATATGATACTTCTTTACATTATGACGAGAAAAAATTGTACTTACATGACCATTGAAGAATTTTTCATAATACGTCCACATGGCCCAAAAGTCTGAACTGGCGACGGGGCATTCAGGGAACGCGTACGTCTGAAACAAAAAAATATAATTTTTACCTTTTATAAATAGGTAACTGAACGATGTTTTTTATTTTTACTAGGGTTGTCGGAGATATACAATAACGTGCGACAATTCAATTGCGAAGTTTAACAGAAAATCATAGATGAACCTGATTCTTTGTCTTACTTTAAGGTTGAATCTAGGAGAAGCACTACTATTTAGCAAAATATTTTTTGCATTACCTTTTTTAGATGACTGTAAGTTGGAGCTCATACAGTATATAATTATTGCACTGTGAGAATGATAAAAGGCAAAAGAAAATAAACTTCGCAGATCAAGGAAGGTTAATCATAAATATGCTCAATAAAGTTATTCCGAAAATAACCCAGGTAAGCGTCAAAGATGAAGGACGTAATAAATGTACTTTCGTAAGAGATCTTGGTTCCGACTTTGCTCCTCTTCCAAGTGGAAAGCCGATATCTTCCAGTGAGTTAGAGAAAATAAGACTCGCAGCGGCTTCCTCTCTGACGAGAGACCTGGAGATTATCACAGCTTGGGGACGCAACAATCTGGTACAGTTGAATGCTTCCAAAACAGAGTACTGTACTTAGAGCAACAAGAAGCTACCTAGCGCTCATCCGATTTCGATGGATGACGTTCATTTTGGCTAGTCGGAGTCCAGATCACCGAGGACTTGATTTGGAACACATCTTGTCAATAGCGGCAGCTGCTGGGAAAAAGCTATGCTATTTGTTCAGGGCTAAAAATTACTTCTCTCCATATGACCTCCTCACTCTGTACAAGGCCCAGATAAGACCTAGCCTCGAGTACTGCTCACATGTTTGGAGTGCTGCCGCCTCGACTACATTATCCATGCTCGATGCTGCAAAGGAGGGGTGTCGAACCGATCGATGATTGGCGACTCCTCAGTGGTTTTCTTTATGATCCCACCGCGCAATGTGCCTGCCAGACAGACCCGCCTGACTTCAACCCCTCATCCTAACCATGCCGAACTTTGTGCATCCTATAACTGGCCGATACGACCGCTACTTTGTCCCTAGTGTATAGAGATGGTGGAACAGTCTACCCGAAGAAGCATTTTCCTAGTTCTACCAACCTTGGCAGTTCAAAAATGTTTCAACAAAGTTTTTTTAAGCTCCTCATAGCAGCCGCGGTGCCCTGATATTTAGGCTTCCGACAAAATCAATATATATCAAAGATTTCCGTAGGTGACTTTCTTGACTGGTATTTTCTCTTCGGAATGAAGCTTTATTTTTTTACTACATTACAAGTGTAAATTAGAGAATGATTGGTTCACCTGAAAAACGTATTATGAGTTTATATGAATTGAAAATGTCACGAATCTAGCTATTAAAACTTGTTTTGCCTAATTTAGGTGGACTAACCTAGATTCAAGCATTTGATTGATCTCCTCCTCGTTCATCAAGCTAACACATCTTGTAAAACTATTATTAAGCGGCACTGGTAATAAACTATCAGAAGACATTATCTTTGCTGAACCCGCAATTGTTTGGTTTAGGTGGTGTACAACTAGTTACTGAGAACAGTCAAATAAAACTGCAAAAAAAACGCCAGAGATAATTTTAAGCCGACGGTAAACTCCAACGGAGATTATAATTAGAACGATACCGTTTACCAAATACCAGATGCGTTGGTTAATACGCCAGGCATGTTTGTGAAATTTTATAGGCGAAAAAACCATTTCACATGCTCAATTGGATCCGAAAGCAAACATTTCGCTCTCTGCAATACTTTCTAACCAAAACAAAAAACTTCCAATTCTTGCCGATTTTCCACAATAGGCTAGCAAGTACGCCGAGAACGGTGCTGAGATAAACTTTTATCTCTCAAGCTATACGTATACAATAAATCAGAGAGTTTGAACCATCGGAACATTTGTAAGGAAATAATTGTTTACGTATCTAGGACGTTAAGTGGATGGTTATGGCCTGCAGCATAAAATTACGGCCCGAGGTATATAGTTTTATCTATGGTCCGCTGGAATAAAAAATTTGGAGTGTCAAGTAGAATTGAACATATAAATAAATTGACCGTACTATTGTACCACAGGTAGTTGTGGGATCACCTAGCAACGAAGGAATGCAGACACATTTCCGCTCGATCGTAGATATATTTTCATTTATTGCTACATCAATACAGATGACATTTTTGTGGTTTGTACACATGTGTGGGTGCAAAGAATATAACGAGTTCTTCGCAAAGAGATACAAAATATTTGTTTTAAAATAAAATGGTCTACAATAAAAAAAAAAGTTTTCCGGTACCGGGAATCGAACCCGAGCCTCCTGGGTGAAAGCCAGGTATCCTAGCCACTAGACCATACCGGATGATGTGAATTGGATGCGAGAAACAGCTATAGATACGGAACCGATGAATGAATTAACTATACCTTCAGCATTTTTTTTGCATAAATTATAAATAAGAGCAAATTGACATAATTATTCATCACATGATAACTATTAGATATATACAAAGTCACATACTGTCTGGGTTAGAACCATAAAGTTATTTGTGCCAATGATTACAATTTGGTTGCAAATTATTTTAATAAAGGAAACCACAATATACTTACGGCCACGTTCCTGACCTTCTCCTTCTCCTGATGACATCCTCCTGACTATGACCTTCTTCTTCATTCTGAGTACCAAAAGAGACCTTTCTATTATGTAAACAGGCTAGGCGGAACTCCAGCCTATCGGCCAAACGGTACTGGTGCAAAGTAGGCAAATCAATGTCCGATCCAACCCAAAGAGAAGCCATTTAGGTCAAATTATGAACACGACAACACTCTTCAACACGAGAATTAGGTTAAATGACTGGAGATCAATGTAAGGAGTGGTGCTATGCCGCCCATTGTTTTCTTGCGGTGAATTAAAGATTGATTGTAGGTTGCACTTCGCTAGGAGGTCACTTTGCACTGGTACATATCACTAATCAGAACATATGTACAATATAAAAGTCAGAGCAGGTCAAATGCAACAAAAGTTTAAATCAAGATCAGCTGATTCTAATTGATGAATAATACCAATACACAGTGCAGAAAAGTTTTGCTCAAGATATGCAACCAGTAATACAGATAAATAACATTTTGACCTGCATTTTATAGGTCAATGAAATTAAGTGATATTATAAAATGGTTTCGACAGAAAAAAATCGGGATTTACGTCCACACTTTGTTCATCATAATGTAAACATAAAAATTATAAATCGAGTTATTTCTGTATTAGTTTTAAGAGCGGTCAGAATGTCACATGGCATGTGAAAAACATATCTAATTATCCGGTATGGTCTAGTGGCTAGGATACCTGGCTCTCACCCAGGAGGCTCGGGTTCGATTCCCGGTACCGGAAATTTTTTATTTTTGAGATTAAATTTTTGAAATAGTTTTTGGTTAGTCATTTACCTCCCTACAAAAACTGTTAGCAGATTGATTATTTGCTAACAGGTGTCACTTCACTCTCTCTTGAATAATATGGGTCCGGAATTTGAATTAAGAATCACAACTTTGGCAAAGGCCACAGACAAAACAGAGGTATCCGATACGACCGTAAATAGTCAATTTTGGATATTTGCGTGATTTTTTTATCGGCCAGAAAAACAGCGATATTGTTAATATGAAATGCAAGGGCTAAAACTGATTGGAAAAAGTTTTAGCAACAATTTATATTTATTTTTCAAAATTATATACCTACAGTCATCGACTTTAAAACGTTTTAAAGTCGATGACCTACAGTAATATGCACTTAAATTATATATACTAGGCTTAATGCTAACGGAGATGCTTGGTGTTAAACTAACTAATTTTGCATGTGCATGTCAGACCCAAATAATAAAATGACACTTGCAAAAGAAACTAGAACACCGAAAAGTACAAAAAATTAAATATTCATCATTTTGTCCGGGGTTTGGTTAAAAAGCGTATTTACAGGAAATATACTGAAAACCTGTACTAAAGAAAAAGTAAACAGGAAGAAATAAACCAGCAAGTATATAAAAAAGTTGCGATGGCCGGGAATCGAACCCGGATCAACTGCTTGGAAGGCAACTATGCTGACCATTACACCACCATCGCACTTGGTTAAAGTTTCGCTGAAGTGGAAGATATGCCGAGCCGTGTCCTGATTAAATTATTCTACTCATAAAACCCAGTTGTATTACTTGTAGCTATGATTTTTAGATCATTGTGTGCCTACTACAAACATGTTACTCCTAAATTAATTTAATTTATTACTTTATTCATGTATAATATTAACATCTTCAGTTCTCTTTGACTAGATGGCGTATTAGAGAAAAAAACTGTGTGAAAGCAGGCAACACACTATACACCTCCTTGCAAGCGTTGTCATCTACCTTCAAACAAATAAATACTGAAATTTTTTGTTTAGGATGTCAAAGCTCTTGTGTACAAAGTGTTTAGTCTGTATTTCAATATTTTAGATAGGATTTAGGTTATACAACACTGGTACAAACTATTATTAAATTCCAGAAGGTATGCTGCTTTTATACCGGAATTGTAACGCCATAAGCAATGGCACTGCTGGTGTAGTGGTATCATGCAAGATTCCCATTCTTGCGACCCGGGTTCGATTCCCGGGCAGTGCATTGTTTTTTTTTGTTTTATTATAATTTTTTGTTTGGGTATAATTATAATTATTTTGCTTATTATGTATAATTATATAATTATAACCATTATATAAAAATATTTTAATGGTCAGTTTTTAACCTCTATAAATATTATGGATCGCATAATGTAAAAAACTGTTATATATAAATATCAAAACACTTCAAAAGCGTCTCTAGATAAAGAAAAATAAAAAAAAAAAAGTTTCCTTCGAGCCGGATTTGAACCAGCGACCTATGGATGTCTACTAATGTTGATGCCACTACAGTCCACCGCTCTACCAACTGAGCTATCGAAGGTTGAGAAACATTTTTCAGATAGGTCAATAAACGTGATATATAACCTGTATCAAGTATAAGTATTTTCTTAGAATCATATTTTAAGAACTGGTGAATATATTAAGCCGTATTATTTAACTGGCTATCAAATGACTGCTTACTAACTTTCCTAGTCTTATAGTGAAAGCTAGTTCAAAGAAGTTTACATGAAAAACGAAAAATATTGGCAAGATTCCATGGCAAAAATTTGCTAAAACTAAATAATAATTTAGGGAAATATTAAATTAAAAATGTAACAAAAAAGATCGCCCGAGCAGGGACTTGAACCCTGGACCCTTGGATTAAAAGTCCAATGCTCTACCGACTGAGCTACCCGGGCCGGTTGCGTTGAGTTTTCGAAACGTCGTAGACACTATTAAATTAAAATAGAAGGAAATAAAAAATAAAAATAGTTATTTATACAAAATGAACATGAAGTCTATACATCCCATCTTTTTGCTATCGGCATTTTGAGAATTGAAGCCCAAACAAAAATTGAGCATAGTGAAATCAGCTCAATATACAAAATGTTCCCATTAAGGCTGGGCTAGGGTTGAAGGGCACTGGTCCTTATCCTTTCTTTTACACGTACAGGGTGGTCCAGTTATACGTGGCCCAAAATATTTAGAATAAACATAATACAATGAAAATTGTTTAAAATATATACAGATCCATTCGGCTAGACCAGATTTTTATCGAAGTTTAGGAGAGAAAAATTTTTGAAATTCCCAGTTTTCAAAGTTTGTCACCTGATAAATGATATTGTTTTAATTAAAAATGCTATTTCAGGGGCAAATTTCCAGTTATGTGATTGACATGTCATAGGAAGTGTATGGACCTCCGACAAAAACTGTAGAGCCAATTCATCAGAGGTATCTACGAAATTTATTAGAGATTCGGCAATCTATAACCTTTTTGGCATTAATGTGCTGGGGTTAAATGTTTAGTGTAACATAAATATCAAGAAAGAAAAGGTACGTAATTATTCATGCTTATAAGCATTTCCACGCGTCACAGCTGTCTTTTTATTCTAGAACTTACTCCTCTTCGAGCTAGTGCACTTGAGGTAATGGCTGTGGAGTTCGAAGTCTTATACGATTTCCAGTATTATAGGTACATCAAAAATAAACATTATTTACTGTATTTATTCCACATTTTACTTTAAAATAAGTACCTATCTCAAAACGCTGACCGCTTTTATCAAAAGATGGACAAAACTATTAAAAAATTAAAATTTGCGAATTCCGTAGTCAGCCGTACCTCAACCGCTGTTTCAGACACATCAATGGATGTTTGAAGGGTTTTTGCAATTTCTCTCGTCGTAATAAAAATTCATTCAATTAATGGTTTGGGAAAATGTTTGAGGTGTGGGACATAACAATATATCGGCAGCGGCAAAGTTCGATGTGGTCGAATTGCTTATGAGATTCGTAACTCAAAATTTCAAAAAATGTATATAAAGAATATTTTTTGCGTCTTTCGCCTTTCAGATTATTTTAGTACGAAGTCAGATATCACACTTTCAAGCGCCCAGTACTAAAATGGAACCCTTATGCTATTAAACGTTTGTCAGGTATCTGATAATTTCATGGAAATATATCATAAAAAAATTACGGTCTGACAAAATGTGGAAGGCAAAAACATCGTGCAAGCTTAGCATTGTAACACAGAAACACTTTATATTTAAACATCAACATTCCATATCAGTTTCTGTATGTATATGTACCGAAGACTTTGAACATTCGCATAAGGTGACAAAAGTGCATTTAGATGTTGGTTCTACTGGTAGATTTGTGAAGAAAGTCGGCAATTCCGGAATTACTCATTTCTTGTGTTAATTAGGGATATATTGCCGGAAACAAATTTGTACGTCCACAATATTCCAGCAATTTGCATTTTTTCAGATGGCAAATTTTCGAAATCCTCAATCTTGATAGTTGAAGATGTACGTGCCAAGAAAGAAATCTGGTCGCGTTGTTCACCTTATTCGAATATTTCGTTGCGCATGCGGTCGTGCTCTACTTTTTTGTCCCCGTAGTGAGGATCAAAATGCACTAGACATAAGGAAATTTTTTGCAGTTCTGTCGTTAAATGCGTATTTGTAGTGTTATTTTATCTAGTGCGAGCGTTTGCAGATAATTGTGGTGCTATACGATTTCAACACAAGCTAATTCTTAATTTGCAAATAGCGGCACAAACCTAATGAAGGTAGATGTTTCCACCGGTAAGTAGTATTATATTGATACAACTCTGTCACTTTGGTAGGCATTGGTAGATAAATGAGTCAAACGTATGCAGTATGGCAACAAATAATACAATGTAAACATATAAGCTAATCTATTCGAATTCGTTGGTCGTACCTGAACTTATCGAATTTTGCTTGCGCCCTCGTGACAGCAGTCTTCTTGACCACCCCATCGCTGCCACTCATGAGATTCCTCTCGCTCTCCACGATCGCTTTGGCCAAATGCAAGTCACTCTCGTTCATTTTTCGCAGGCTCCCGAGTCGCACCCACTGAAGGCAAACGAAACGCGTGTAGGTACTATTTTTATATTTGCCACAAAGCTAGACACCACTGCCGAACAGATAGAATCGCAGGAACTTATTAAAATAACAATATTCTGTTCTCTGATGGACTAGGTACTACCAGAACGTGCTTGCAAGGTTAGTGCGGCGCGCACCAGGGACGTGCCTGAAGGAGGGGACAGTAGTGCCACGAGCTTTACTTCCTGTGTATTTGCGAGTGTAGTAAAATTTTCGGGAATTTATCAAAAAATATCTTCACACAAAGTTGCAATACTTCAGAATGATTGGATTTAACGTTGGAGATGAAATGTTTCCAAAATCCTGGAGCAGAGACACAATAACGTACTCGGTTCTCATATCAAAGGCTGGAATTCGATAGAATCAACAGATTCGTCAGCTTATATATTTTAAAAGCTAAGGAGAGGAACAGAGCCATCTTGCGATGTGTAGAAGCCTCTGGGCACACCGAAAGCTTGGGGCATGCGGCTGAAGGGGCCTTAGACTAGAGCAGAATCGAGGACCTACTTTGTCGTTTGAGAAAAATGCTGATCCCCCATCCAGCTGGTATCCCCGTCTCGGACTCCATACAGTTAAGATGGAATAGTGGAGGGTTGCTGCTCAAATTTCATTTGGCCAGTTTTTTAACACCTCTATCA